CCCTCTTCATCCAAAGTTCTTCCCTTTTATGCACATAACGTTCACATTGACCTTTTAGAAAACATACCCATTTTTTTGTTCTAAATTTTAAAGCTTCTGAATTGGGGTAGCAGCTAAAAATAGGAAAAAGAAAGAAAGTAGAAAAGAGGTATGAATGCCATAAAAGATACAGTTTCTGAGAAGCTTTCACGTCTTTTTTCTGATTCTCCTTCTAAATCTTCTGATCAACAACCTCCTGATCAGGTTCTTTTTCTCTCTTTCTCTATTTTAATTTTTTTTTATTTATAGAAGCCCCTATATTTTGTATGTGCATGTTGTTATGAGACTGAGATCTTTGCCTTTAATCTGTTTTTGAGGTTGATATTTTGATTATAAAGCAATGTCGTTGTAGTTTGAATATTATTGTTGTGATTAAGGTGGTGTCTGCGCCAACTTGCGCCCACCTCGACTATTTCACCTGGTACCTGTAATCTCCAGCCTACACAAGTACCGGGTAACTCGGCCCACCAAGATGTAGACATATGAGGAAGAACAATGTAGTTAGAAGTTAGAACATTAGAGTTTGAATCTTGATGATCCCTTAATGAGCTGACTAATCTGAAAATGTATTAAATTGGTTGTCCTTAAAAAATATATATTTAGAGAACTCTGTATTATGTGATGAGAATTATTTTTTCTTTCCTTATTAGAAGGATTAACTGGTTTTCATTATTGTTTACTTTGCCATGGGGCTTTGGTTTAGTGATAAAAGCGCAACACGATGTTGTGGATTAGGCGCTTATCATGAGTCCGAATCTTGTGCAGAGTCGCAAACAAAGCCTAGTATTTAAGTGGAGAAAGGTAGAGGGACATATGCCCGTTATCTACGGAGTTTCGAACTGTGCAGTAGCGGAAGCTCGGGGATTTCTCGGTTATGGAATTTCGAACTGTGCGCTAGCGGAAGCTCGAGATTTCTCGGTTATTAGTAAAAGAACTATTCCTTAGCTTTTGATAACAAAAGACAAGTTGGGTTAAGCACTAGTCATGTTGGTGTCCTTACATTAGGCGTTTGCGAGCTGTCTTTGAAGTCTTTCAGAGATTTGTATGTCAGTAGAAAGTGCAGAGAACCTCTAATGTTAAAGACCTCCAAGTTATTGAGTATTGGAATGAAACAGGTCCGATATAGGTGAAACGGATATTGAGGATTTATATAGCCACACCAGCAAGCTTTATCATGTTCCAAGAACAAATTTTTTATCGCAAAGAACACTTGACATTCTAACTGAAGCCCGTTGAATGCAACATGCTACATTTTTCCTATTTGGTCCTTTTGAAGTAGGATTTTGGTTTATTCAAGCAGAAATTTTATAGACTTATTTTCCCCTTTGTGTTTCCATATCAGAAGACTTACTGTTTTCTTAAGTATTTTAGTATGCAACCTTTGATTGACCTATTATTGTGACACTGTTTTTCTCTGTGTTTAGGCCAGGCCATACACCAAAGAGGGTAGATCTTTATCATCTATACTTTCTTTCTTTCTACCATCGACAAATTTTGTTAAGCTCAGAGATCAAAATGATGTCAAGTCACTTCAATCTCATTCTTTTACGTGGAGAAGTAAAAGTTTCTCATGGCGCGATAGACCTTTGGAAAGATACACAGATTGTGATGATCATGACGATTACAAAGAGATGCCAAACGAACCATTCTATACACCTAGATGTAATGGAGAACCTAATTCTGCAAGGAGTGTCGCCAGTGGTTTCGAAGCTTTTGAAGATGTTCCTGATGGAGACAATTTAGAGCAATCCGTGCCTAATCTCATTGATGATTCTGTTTTCATTTCTCCGGGCTTGTATGATTTTTTCCAGTCTTCCCTCCCTAATATAGTGAAAGGTTGTCAATGGGTCTTGTTATATAGGTAACTTCGACTTAAAACTAGTTTTTACTGCAAAATCTGTTGCAACTCTCGGGCTTGAATATTCATATTTATTCTGTTTATTTGAATGAAGGGCAGCACTGCGAAACATGGTATATCACTTCGTACTCTAATTCGCAAGAGCGCTGATACTTCTGGTCCTTGCTTACTGGTATTTTCGCCTCCACATTACTGCCATAACTTTTTGCGCATGCACTCCCGATATGTTAGCATTTTTTTTAAAAAAAATTCGTTATCAGTCAATGTGAATTTTTCGTAATCATGCTTGTTACAGATTACTGGTGATAAGCAAGGTGCTGTATTTGGTGGGTTGCTTGAGGCACCACTCAAGCCTACCGCGAAGAGGAAGTACCAAGTAATTTTTCTTTTCTCCTTTTATATGACACAAGTGATAATAGCCAGTATTGACTATCTTTAATCAATCCAAACTAAAGGTAAACTAATATTCAGACTCCAAACCACCATCTTTTGTTGTCTAGTTTTAAACACCCTTCCGCAAGAAGAAATAGTGTATATTCTTAGCAATCACGTAAAACAGTTTGAAAGGTGCTGTATTTGGTGGGTTGCTTGAGGCACCACTCAAGCCAACTGTGAAGTGAAAGTACCAAGTAATATTTCTTTTCTCCTTTTATATGAGACATGTGACAAACCGCATATTCATTTTCTTTAATCAATTTGAACTAATGGAGTAATGGTAAACTAATATTCAAAGAATAGATTACCAGCTTTTGTTCTCTAGTGTTACCCTTGGTAATTTTGCTTAGTCAAACACCCTTCCGCAAGAAGAAATATTTTATATTATTAGTAGTCACGTAAATATTTGAAACAAGTAGATATCTTTTGCCTTTTTCATCCTAACCGATCTCTTCTTTTTTTATATGTTTATATCCGATGCTAAGGTGCCTTCATTCTATGATTATGACAGGGAACAATTCAAACATTTGTATTCACAACTGTATATGGTGAACCAAGGCTATTTAGACCTACGGGTAAGTATATCACCAGGCTACTATACAAGTCCTTAAAAAGTAGTAACTGCAAATTTTCTTTAACAAGAAATTTTCAAGCTTGAATGGACTTTGTAATCCCAATTAAGTACATAGTGAGTTTGTCTAAACATTTTTGTATAGAAAATGGCTACTCTGAACTGTTGCATTTTATTGCATGTCCACCTCATGACTGAATTTCTGATAGAGCGGAGTTCAGCCCATTTTCCTTGCCATGTCAACTTGACTTATAGCAGACCGAGCTACTTATCTTCATTTAGGAGTTGAATCAGATCGACAAACCCTTATTTTATATTTCACCTGGATTGCAGTTCTCTTTGTTACATCTTAGACCGAGCTACTTATCTTCAATATAACATATTTGAATTTACAGATAACTATCAAAGGCCAACTTCAAACTAAATTGAGGTGATAAACATCTCTTATAAAGCTAACATTCTGTGATAATTATCAGCAAAGATGCTTTTCCTTAGTCCAATGCCTACCACATCCAGTTAATCTGTCACTTTATGAGATTCTTTCTGATCCATTAGTGTTGTATTTTTCATTTTTTTCTGCTTTCTTTTCGTTTGAGGAGCAGTGGTAATGGGTCAAAGTTTCCCTTTTCTACTGACCTATGTAGTGCGGACTCTCCAAAAATGATGGCGCACCCATGTCGGATCCTCCAAAAATGCACTACTTTTGGAGGATCCGACACGCACCCGGCAAAAGCAACATAGCTAATGACGCCTCTGAACTTATCTAGTGAGTTGGTACACCACACACAGCTCAGCTTCTCTTTCTGAGTTTGTCTAAGATTGTATGCCTTGAAATTAATCTGTAAGGCAGTTGAGGAATGCTACCATGCTATGTATTTTGTGTATCTTCTCCATTATACACAAAAGCCAAAAGAGATTATGTTGGTCTAAAATGTGTGTGTGTGTGTGTGTGTATAAAAAAAATTCTTCAATCATCACATATACTGATCATGTAGCTGTAGTCTTGTTGTATGATACTGCTCGAGCTTGCTGTGTAACTATCCGTATGGTTCTTAATATAAAAGGTAAACATTACTGACCTGTTTGATACATGTAATGCACAGTACAAAGACAAATCTCAGGAGCAAATTATCACTGAAGTAATCCATGAGAGGATGCATACATAAGCTAATCTTCTTATCTGTTTTTGGAATTAGGTGCCAACAGATATTTTTACTTGTGCATGAATGATTTCCTGGCACTTGGAGGCGGTGGACATTTCGCGTTATGCTTGGATGGAGATCTGTAAGTTTCTCTTCCTGGCATTCAACACTGTAGCTTGCAGATTTCTTCTTTTCTTTCTTACAATTTTCTGAAGTTCCATTTTTGTGATAAAATATTTTTGATGAAGGTTATCTGGCAATAGTGGACCTTGTGATACATTTGGGAACTCGAGCTTGGCACATAATGAAGAGTTTGAGTTGAAGAATGTTGAGGTAATTTCTTCTTTAATTATTAGTGTTCTTTCCCATTGATTATTCATAAATATAGCTTTTGTCTCTGGTTTCACCTACTCTCTGAGAAGCATCACTGACTCAGATCTTTAGCTCCACGTCACCTGTCCCACAAAAGAACATCACTGACTAATAAAAAGAGTTGCATAACTCGTGCAAAATTAAGAGGTAGGAAATTTTTAATTCCGCCTTTGGACTGTATTCAGAAAAAGGGGAAATTTTTGGTTTGGTTTTCCGTAAATTTAACCCTCTCCTTACTTTTCTAATCTGCAAGGATTGTCCACACATGTTATGCATTCATGTGGACAACACATGGATGCATAACAAAGGCACTTCTATTTTAAAAAGTTCGATCACAGTTGATCCAAAGATGAGGATAACTGGGAACCATAGTTACTTGAATTTTTCAAAGACTACATTTTGGGAACATCCGCCTCTTGCAGAAATGCAGGGTTAGGCTGCGTACAATAGACCCTTGTGGTCCAGCCCTTCCCCGGACCCCGCGCATAGCGGGAGCTTAGTGCACCGGGCTGTCCTTTTTACATTTTGGAAAGGTCAACAAAATTCAAATGATGTTATAAAGCACTCATAAAGAGGTCTCTTAGAGAAGGATAAAAATAGAAAATATATTGAAGAACAATTCTCAACTGATGTGTTATCATTCAGAAGGGGAGCCTTGGAACAAAGGTCAAGTTGTCTCCGTGTGACTTATAGGCCACGGGTTCGAGCCGTGGAATCAGCCAATGATGCTTGCATCAGGGTAGGCTGCCTACAACACCCCCACCCCCACCCCCACCCCCACCCCCCTGGAGTGTGGCCCTTCTCTGGCTCCTGCATGAACGTCGGATGCTTTGTGCACCGAGCTGCCCTTTGTGTTGTTTTCATTTACAATTTAAGGTAATAGATTAGGCCTTAGGGCAGGAAAAGATAATCATTTTATAAGGTTGTTCTAGTGTTGGGGAAGCTTATAAGAGTCAAGCCGCTCTGCTCTCATATCAAACCAACCGATTATTGATAAGGACTATGGCTTAAATAAGTCAAATAGGATCATTCACCAATGCCTGAAAGCTTAAGCTGTCTCAAACTCACTAGTAAGGTGTTCTAAAACGCGGACACTTTACATGTCATAGCAGACTCAGGAAAATTATTTAGACAATTTCCTCAAAATAGTACTACCAATCTTGTCCAGTGAGTATACTGTTTGGATACTTTGCTGAACATTCTACTACCAATGTTTGACAATTTCTTTTTCTTGATGCAGTTGTGGGGTTTTACACATGCATCTCGGTACCTTACCTCGTAGCAAGCTTGAAATGTTATTTTTCTTTTTTACCTGTTAAAAATTAGAAATATGATTATTTATTCTTTCATGTCCAAGAAGCATTCGTCTCCATTTTGATCTTGGAGTGTTCCTGCTGTACATGGACAAGTTGTATTAAGAAATGAGATTCTAGTTAGTGTAGATTAAATTAGCTAATCATTATGATTGTAAGTACTCATTCTTCTTGTTTATAACATTATGGATCCTTCTAGCCTGCAAAGGCTCTTCTAATCATACAAAATACAGGTTTTAGCACTCATGGTGTGTTTTTGGATAAACTCTATAAAAAAAAATGAGTGTTGTACAAACCACAGCAGTTAAATATTCTGCACATAATTTGTAGTTAAGCTATTTGTTTATTACCTTTGCTTATTGAGTGTTCTGGCAATGACTTCCCTTTGCGAAGGCCAATATATAACAACGACAAACCCAGCATAATCTCACAAGTGAGGTCCGGGTTGCGAAGGCCAATACATGCTTCTTAAAATCTACACACTAATGCTGGTAATCGTAATTACATGAGCATTATTATCGATCACTAGAAAATAGATCATACTCTATCCAGTCATCCTCTGAGTCTATAATTAGGATCGGATTATCTATGAATCCGTTCATTAATTTTCCAACAACGCAGACACAGATGCATGTGTGACAACGTTCATTCTTTTTTATGGTATTTTAAAAAGTTGTAACCAATCTTATTATTTTCCAAAAAGTTGAGAAATCGCCACCAAGTTCAAGCGAACCAGATATGGTGCTAATAGCATTAAGATGGATGGATAGTTGTATAAACGATGCTTCACTGGTTCAGGTCCGTTTTGCTACTCTCACCAATAAGGTCCCAATGTTAGATTCTGAAGAACCAACAGTTCTGTCGGAGAAGACGGTTTTGCTGTCGTTAGATTGTGTGTCAACGTGAGCCAACATCAGCAGAAAGGAGAATAAGACAGAAGGTTGTATTCAAAATCTAAGTCCAAAATCTGAGTCCGAATTGGGCACTTTAAGCAAGTTCTAATTTTCCTGAGCACGTCTTGTTTTTTAATGGAAAATGGATAGCGGATACATATGAATGAATTATATATCACTATTCAAGAATTGTTTTACAACACTTCTATATTATACCATGTTAGTGGTAAATATATTTCCCTGCTTCCCCTGCTAGAATGGAACTATATTGAACAAAAAACCACTGAAGTTACACTTGAAAGAGCAATAAATCTCTGTCAACCTCTTTCTTCACCCTGCAAGATAAATGTGCCGACCCCGCAGCAGGAGTTGTAGGACTAGTTATCTCCTTTTAACTCCTCTAACTGAGCCTAACTCTCTGATTGATCCTCCCCAGGCAGCCCGAATATTCTTAAATTCCGATCCATGGATCCAACAGCTATGTATTTCGCATCTGGTCCGAATTTCAGACATGTTGCTTTACCTGCATGAGACAATAACAGACTCCATCTAAATAAACAGGGATGAAACAGAGGACATCAAAAGCACAAATAGGCAAAAAGAGCGAGCAGAGAAAGCTTACCTGTGCCTGACAAGTCAGGGAAAGTTTTGATGAGATTCCATTCGGACTTGACACTTGCAGCTTGATGAACTCTGATTCGGCGCAAAATTATGTTGATATTAATTCCAATGTATCAACAGAAAGTTCCAAATAGCAATCAGCATTTAAATGCATAATGGAATGGAGGACAGTCATAATCAAAGTAACAACAATGACAATGACAACAACACCTTCATCCCATTCTAGTTGGGCTAATAACTAAAGCCTCATTGATCACCCAGTAAGGTGTAGGGTGATGACAAAGGACAAAATATAAGTTCAAGCAAAATTAGGACACTTGAACAACAGATGTTCTAAGGGGGTAAATGCACCTTCCTTATCCAGTAACCAGCACGGGAAGTTTGTAAATAAGTTTTACCTTATATCTGAGCCTCCTAATGCAAGATAACTTCCACTGTGGTCAAATTCCACTGCAAGTACAGAAGAAGCAGCTGGTCAGTTTTTAAATGCATAGAAATTCCCATAGAAGATACAATCACCTTAGTAAATGATTACAAACTGCAGTAATGAAAGACATTTAAGATATCATTCGTACAAAAATTATCTTTAAAAGCAAGTTTGACACGTAACCATAACATTATGAAGCATCAGAAAGGAAAAGGGTTGAAGTGCCCCAAAAGGGAAATGATCCATATGTACATGCAACTCCTAAAGATAGTATAATCATATATATTATAGTTCATACATAAAACAAGAAACTTGGCTTTTAAACTGCTTAGTGCGCACTAAAAGTCGGAATTTTGCTAAACCACTAGCGAAGTTCTTTTGATTAACACAGCTCTTCTAAGATATTTTTCGTGCCGAACTCCAGTAGAATGTAGTTAGTATTTATACCTGATTGAGTTGCTGTATCTTCATCATAAGGAGTAAAGCTTCTGAAGTTTCTCAATTTGCGTAAATCCCAAAGTTTGACACCATCTTGAGCTGCGGTCTGAAAAAATAGTGAAAAAAGGAAACCCACCAGTTAAAATTTTAATCATAAAACTCAGGTAATGCTGGTAAAAGAATGGTCAACAAAGGTTCATTCAGTAACAGAATACTCACTGCTAAGAAATAACCATTTTCTGAGAAGGAGATTGCAGTTACTGCTCCAACATGGCCATCAAATTTTGCAACATTTGCCTATAAAGCAAGCACCAAAAGGGAATCCAAAGAAAAAAGAAAAGGATGAGGAACAGTAAAAACACTAAGATAGAAGAGGAATTACATCAGTAGCTTATGCAGCTCTTCAAGAATACACACCTGGCTTTTTACATCCCATATCTTGACCAGAGCCCCCGAAGTTCCTGCTCCAAGGATCAGACCATCAGGATGAAAAGCTGCAGATGTGTAGCCCTCAGATTCTGAAGCATCTGCTACCTGCATTAGAACTTTAGAGTTGATGACCCCAGAATCCTGAAAATTGTTTCTGGAAAAGAGAACAAAGGAGCAAGATACCTGAGCAAGGCATAAACCAGAAGCAAGTTCATAAAAACACCATGTGCCATCAAGAGAAGCAGTCACAAAGTACTTATTGGTTGCATGGACTGTGACAGCTTGCACCTGAATTTATTGGTAGATAAATTAACGTTAAAAATTCCTATAGTTAACAGAGAGCAAAAATTTCAGTTGCGGGACCATATTGTGAAGTCGAAGTAACATTCATGCTCTGAAGAACTTGTCTAATAAAACAAGGCAGGGAACAAGGTATTACCAATTTCCACAGAAAATCTTAGGTTTTTCCCACAAGCAAGTGGAATGGTGTTAAGAGCATTCCTTCCTTTGACCCACTCAAGTATGTATTTTAGAGGTGGAAAATAACAATGCGGCTAGCTCTGGTAAAGAAATAATGACATCTACAGCCAGCTATCTTCTCTCTTTTCGCTCCTGTCTCTCTCTAGCTAAAAATTGTTCCTTTTCTCAAATTTTGTTCATATTGCTTCCTCACAGATATTCATGGTGAAACATAGACAACCATTAAATCATACAACTAAGCATCAGCCCCTATGGAATGACTTCCATCCCAATTTTTCACCACTTAGGCACGGATCTCTTTCATTCCAGCCTAAGAAAGAAACATCCAAATGGCGAACCTAAAGCGTAGGTCGAATATCAATGCAACCAACCACAAAGTGCATTCTAAGTTTGAGAGCCAAAGCAAAATAAGGTTTTTCATAATCCATCTTAATTCGTCAAATCAGGATAACTAGTAGCACCTTGTTAAAATATTCAAAAAGCCAAACAACATCATAACTTTCAGTATTAATAAATGAGATAACAAGATGAAGTACCTCAGCACTGTGATCCTTCAAAGTATGCTTACAGTCATAATTTCCATTTTCAGAGCTTTGCCACACACGTACTGTCTGCAAAGGTCAACTGCAGAAGTTCAATAGAACATGGAAGGCAAGAAAAATACATGCACCAGTTATGCAATTGAACTTCAAGCAATTACAGCATTTAACTTACCCATCTAAATTGATAAGTAACATCTGAAACTAAAGCTGTTCTTATGTTTCATATGTACCACTTTTCAATCCTACCTCAACCAGATCTTAACCTAGAAATGAAGGACAAAGGAATCACTAACGAACACACAAGTTTGACCAACATGCCCTTTATCTTTATTTAGCATTCTGTTCTTTAAAGCATATCAAATAGTATAATTTTGTGGCAAAGCAAATTGTCACCAAATATTTCGGATTTAAAGAGATTCTGTACTTTCACAGTTAAATCTTGGATACCATGTATTTCTATATCCTTCATAAGTAAACCCACCTTTCATTAATTCCAAACAACTCGACCCATACCACCATATGGTAGGAAACACTGGGAGAAGTAAATGTTCTAAATGACAAAGAAGAAGATGAAGTTGACTATCAATGAGAATACGATCATGACAACTGAATCCAAAAAACAACACACAGGAAAGCAGTGTTTTAAAAAGCGATCGCTTCATCGCTTTAAGCGAGAAGCGATGCGAAGCGATAGGCCTTCGCTTTTTTGAAGCTGAGGCGACTCGGCCAGCAGAAGCGATGGCTTCAGTCAACATGGGCCAATCTTTTTTAAAAAAAACGATTGGGTCTTTTTTTTATTATACAAAACATAGACCCCAAAGTGAACTGAAGACATTTCTTCTCTTCTTCCCTTCCATCGACCTTGCTGCTGCTTCTAGGGTTCCGTCCATCAGCCTCCGGTCTAGGTAATTTCTTCTTCTTTTCTTCTTTCTTCTTCTTCTCCTTTTTTCTTCTCCTTTTTTTCTCTTTTCTTTCTTCTTCTTCCCGTTCGTCTGCTCACTGCTAGGGCAGGTGCGTTTTTTTTCTTTTTTTCCCTTTTTATTCTTCTTATTTAGCCTTTATTTATTAATTTTATGTGTATTTCACTCTATAAAGTTAATTATTTTATATGTTACATTATGTTTTTTAAGAATTGCGCTTCACTTCAATAAAGCGTGCGCTTAGCTTAGCACTTTGCTTTTGAAGCGAGGCAAGCCCCTGTCGCTTTTTGCGCTTCTCGCTCTCAAAAACACTGCAGAAAAGGAACAAGTCAACTGCAACTTCCGATCAAACAGAGTCAAACAGGTTTACCTTATCTGCAGAGCCAGTAACTACTAGTTCACCCTCAGCAGCAAATCTGACACTGTTAACCTAAAAAAGAAGAATATGAGCCACAAATTCGTTGCGGGTAAGGTTAATGAATAAATAAGTATTAATCAGGATATCAAAAAAGGAGGATATCATGAATCAGACATCCTTGCTTGGAATAAAATTATGACGTATTGGAAAAAGATAACAGACCCTCTTTGAGTGACCACTTAGTGTCGATACAATCTGCCCTGAAGGCCGATCAAAGACCACAGCATTTGAATCAACTCCACCAGTAGCAATGATGTCCTAATACATAGGCAAAAAAAAAAAATTGAGCTACCAATATTAAGTTTGGTGATACATCTTCTACATGAAAAGAAGACATAACCATTAACCGAGATAACAAGATGCAAATGCAGTGTCTGATAAGTGACAGCACTTGACACCAATACAGTGTGACTATATTTTTTGGTAAAGCACAATGCATATATTTAAATTTGACAATAAATTTATTATGAGCAATTAAATGTGTGAAGATTCTACAACAGGGAACATCCTCGAAAAGTATGCAAAGGTCCTAGCACCGGACTAAACCTACCCATTAAAAATATATATAGTACAGTTTACCAGTAAAGTATTTTTGCTCATTGACCACAATGCTTTTAGCTTGAAAGGAATTCAAGAGGTAATCCTTAGACATTTTGTTCCTAATAAAAGGTTATTGACCTGTGATTAAGCAGGAATACAGCAATAACATTGGCTTTCAAGATATCATTAGCTTTTCTACATCAGATTTACTACTTACATCCCTCTTAGAGAGACATATGGAGTCTATCAGATAGCGCACTCTAGAAAAGAGGAGCCATGGTTTGAGAATGTACAGAAGGGTAATAGCTTTGCGAGTTGCACAAAAATCATAAGCATTTCCTGTTTCGTAAATTTAAAATGAAATTGTGAACTCAGGCAACTAAACATGAAATGCAATCAAGCGTAGTATATTTTTTCTTCTCAAGAAATGAGTTCTCCAGAACAATACTGAACAGATATTAAGTGAACATCATATGCATACTTTTGAGAAGGTTAAGAATATAAATTACCAGCTCACTTTTAAGACCTTAGTCAAAGCACCTGATACTGTAAAACTTATTGTGCCTTGGACGAAGTCCAGTGAAAACTGCTGATATTCTTAAGATAAGCACTCATAATTCATGTAGAAACAAAGAAGCAACAAACCCTAGGCAACTGTACATAGCCAGAAGTTCTGCTAACAAAATGACTCATATATCCACTTCTGTAGTTCAGAGATGCAATCATAATCAAAATGATCAGTTGCTCGGCGTCGTGTATGAGCAAGAAAGGGAAGTGAATAGATGAACAAGAATTGAAAAAGAATCAATAATAATAGTCCAGATAAAGATGGACCCATACCTTAGGATAATGGATATCCAGAGACAAAATGCCTGGTTTGTTTGTTTTATGAAGAGGATAACTATTCAGCTGGGTATATCTTTCAACAGCATCAACAGGAGCCAATGTTGCAGAAATCTAGGTGGCAAACAAAAGTTGTATAATCATTTTGCATTCAAACTGGGGGAAAGCTAAATAGCTCATATACTAGTGACTTTAAAATGTTCATACAATTAATTTAAAAGAGGAAAGCATATAAGCTAGAAGATGAGCGGGGAAAGAATAACACCATAACAACATCTTTCCGATTTATGGAGTTTTTTCCATAGCAGAGATTACCTGTCGCCGTTTCCTTTGCTGTGAAAGAGCAGCATTACAATCTTGAAGCTCTTTAATAACATCGCCTGATATTCCTGGGCGAATTTTCTTACCACCAGGACCCATCTCCTCCTCCTCCGCAGCTATTTATACAAGTTGATTACACAAATCAGCAAGTATGGAAAGAAAAATGGCATATTATAGACCTAACAGTAAAATTCAAAAAAATCAAGGACCTCTTTTCCCATTGCTTAAAGCAGCACCATTAGTTGCGGTTGTAGTTGCTTCCATGGGTACTTGTCTTTCAGCCTGTGCAAGCAATGCTCTTGCCTCGTCCCTTTCCTTTTTCAGCCTAGCAATTACCCGGCATGCAGCATCATGCTGCCAAGAAAGGGCAGATACTTTCAGCAAAGAATACTTCTTTTCTATAAAGAGCAAAGAATGCAACAGATAGACATGCATGTCCATACAAGAGGCAAACAAGTAGGCAACAGAGGAATATGAAAGAAAGGGAAAGGGCCATATTTCAATCATAGAATATGAGAGAGAAAACATTTGAGATGCAAAAGAGTACGATAAAAAATGAGAAATATGATTGAGCATTTTGATGTCATAAAATCATTTGATTCATTCACAAAGACAGTGCTAAAAAGATATGGTAGGAAGGCTATCCATGAACCCCTATCAAGCCCAACAACCTATATAAACAAACAGGAATTCTTTATTTGCACCAAGACTATAAATGAGGAAAGGAGCTCTATAAATTCCTTAAGCTTGTCTCAATGCTTTGAAAGATGCTCTATATTATTATTACCTGATATAGAGCATGACTCAGCTCTTGCCTTGCAGTATGTAATTGTTGTTCCAATGCAAAATTGGATAGCATCAGACCATCCCACTCCTATAAGACAAAATAAAATTATGATTTAGACCCATCAATGTAAAATATAAAGATTTTTATATAGATATATAGCACTAAAAAGGAATCTAATATTACAGATCCGCGTTTGACTCCAACTACCAACCTCAGCTGTATAGTATACATGAAATTAAAATGTACAAGATTTAAAATTCTATCAGATATTGCATACATGCTATCCGGAGTAACAATAAGAAAAGAAAAAAAAGACACAAGAACTAAAAAACTAAATAAAGTGATCTCAATTGTGCAACAAATGCTGCCTTTGAAAGGAGAAGGAAGAGGACATTAATCATTTGTTTCTTCACTGCAAGTACACAACACAGTTTTGGCATTTCGTTTTCAATTTTATATCATGGGTCTAAAGTGGTGCATGCCTGTTTCTACATTTTAGTTTCTTCAAACTTGGCATAGGAAGGATCTACACAATGCCTCATATCCTTATAGAGGCACAATTCCAGCTGCCACTTGGTGAGCCATTTGGAAGGAAAGTAGCATTAGATTTAGACTTTCTAGCTCATTATACAACTTAATGGCCTCAATATTTTGGTTCTAACTCCTCCCAGCATTACCTTTTTGTTGGTAATTCAATATAAGTTACACTTCACCTATCAAAAAAGACTGATTTCATACTACGCCTCACCTCAGAGTTTTCTAATCTATTTATGTTGCAAGTAATGCATAGAGAACGGAAGTAGAAAATCTAGGATCAGAAATACATACTATCTGAAACATTCCCAACATCCCAGGAATACTGGCGGCCTGCACAGGTCGGGGCTTCACTATCTGCAAAAGGTCCCAAGTAAAGGAAGCTGCACTATAAAAGCCCATTTGACATCATATGGTATAGAAACTTCAAAATTGCTGTCAAACACTACAAGCAAATCATGCTAATAAACTTCAAATGGATTTGTACCTTGCCAGTTTTAACTGGAATAATGTCATCCAATGTCAGTGGCTCTCCAGTGACTGGACATTTACCATAATCCTGTACGAACAAAAAGAAACGGAAAAATAGAAGGATCACACCAAGCAAACATGAAAAAATGCAAAATATTTGTCCCATAAATCAAATGTATTTATTAATGTTACTCCAAGTTTGCATCGTATTACAGAACTACATCATACAAGCACATATTAAAACTCCCGAAATCTAAGCGATCATCTATTCAAATCAGAATTTCATGTACACACTAAATATACAAGGTAGACAAAAGAGAATTCTTAATGCAACAATGAACTCTTGATTCTTGGCCCCTTCTGCCCTTCGAAAGTTTTCAATCTCTCTATATAATCCAAAAAAAGAAAATACAAAAGGGTGCCATATTACAACAAATAAAATGAGAAAATGGAGCATATACCTAGAAATCATTAGACACCACATTAAACATATTTTGAAACAAAAATTATAATATTGCTTACCAAAAAACTAGGAAAACTTTCCAATGATAAAATTGAAAATTAAGGTGTAAATAATTTAATTGCTCTGTTCAGTTTTTTTCCTCCGAAAAGAAGCTGACTTGGCCCAAGTCAAAGATAGGGAACATCACATCAACCTACTCCTAGCTATCAAGATAACCTAGGTCAATTCTCTTAGTTCAGTAGGAGGGGCAGAGATGGAAGTTCAAAGAGATAGAGACCAATAAATTCCAAATTTGTGCTAATGGGTAGACATGTAGAATCATCCAACCAAATAACATTCTTAGCCGCAATTACATAATCATAACTTTGGGTTCTAATTTTATTTACATACAATCAAACAATCATTTTTTAGGACGGTGGTATTCAGGCCAATTTGTGCACACCTCGACTATTCCACCGGATACTTGTATCTTATACCAGCAAAGATACCAGGAAACTACAATCAGTCAATCATATTAAACTTTACAGACCAATATTACACTCAGTATGGGAGCTATATGAATTTTCTACTATTCACTCCGATCTTATCATGTCCCCTTGGTTTTTATATTAAGCAACTCTCTTTACTTTTGTGTTTATGATAGTGGTTTCCCGGCCAGCTTGCTTACACCTCAACTAATTCCATTCGTACCTGCTACCTCCTGCCAGTACAGGTACCGAGTAACTATGTCCACCAAAAACTTAGACAGATGGGAATAACTACCTAGTATTTTTTACTCCATTGGGATTAGAACCTAAGACCTCATGTTAAGCCGTTCTCTTTACTAAGCACAAATAAAACCCTCCACTCATACACATTCTCAAATTCTAAACCTTATTTACTTCAAATTTTACTTTAATGACTAAGATAAGCAACACAAAACAACTTCCACATAAATAAGAAAAAGAAGAATACCCATGAAAATATGTTCACGCACTAAACACACAGTAATAAAAAAAACTAACCGAGATGTGTCTTTCAATTAAACGCTTCTCAAAAATAAGTCCGGATTTCATTGACACTACTGGCACTTCCGGTACCTCACCGGAAACTGCACGTACAATTGAGAAAACATAGAAAACGATAAATCAGATATAAAAAACATAAAAGCATATATTAAAGGTATGAAGAAAATGCATAAAGAGTACGTATAGAAGGGATTGGGAGTTACTTGAACAGTTCATTGTTGAAAATTGAGAGCTAGGGTTTTGGATTGAGAGCTGAGTTTCTAGTTCGCCGTGAGCAGAAGCGAGAGCAGCTGATGAGCAGTGACAGCTAAAGAGGAAAAAAAATCAAAATTTGAGGGTTAATGAATTGTTGTAAATATAGAATTGATACCCGACCCAAATTGAAACGGATGGATCATGACCCGGCTTCCTCTTTTTGTATTATTTTTTCAAAATTACTTTTGAATTAGGAAACTTAACTAGGAGGGTGTTTGGCTAAGCTTATAAGCTGGTCAAACTGGCTTATAAGTACTTTTTGGCTTATCTATGCATTTGGTAAAATTAAAAGTGCTTATAAATTAAGTGTTTATAAGCCAAAAATAAGCCAAAAGCCATAAGTTGGTCTCCCCCAGCTTATCAAATTTCAGCTTATAAGCACTTTAGGTTTGACCAAAATATTTACTATCCTATCCCTAAAATACTTCTTTTTAAAACAAAACTCTCTTTATACCCAGTTCTTCAGCTGCTTATTATTAATTTCAGCACTTTTATCCAAACACGTAACTGCTTATTTTTTAAATCAGCTTCAGCACCTAAAAGTGCTTTTTAGTACATAATGCTTATCAGCTACTCTAAATCAGCTAACACAAACGGACTCTAGGTAAGTACTACACTACTACTCGCTCTTGTTCCTTTAAACTTTAAAAAATAATTTAACTGAATTGTACTTATTTATTCTTTGATCTCATTTAATCACTATTATTTTTTTCACTATATTAATTTATTTTCATATTTATTGGAGTAAGGGTAAAGGTATACAAAACTTATTAACGCTTTCTTCATTTCTTTTACAATGACAAGTATTTTGAATTAATTATTTTAGTAACTGTAACAACTAAGAGCGAGAGAGAGAAAGCATATTTAACACACCCATATTTACTATAGGCAACTCCTTGTAATCAGCTTTTACATTATATGGTATTATCAAATAATATTTTTAAATTATTAGGTCGTTATCTTGTAAACTAATATTGTGAGCTACATTATTATATAAATATTATTTATGTCATCAAATTGTATTTTTTTATATCCTCGGCGTATGAAGTTAAAGCCATCAGTTAACTAGAATACATAAAGGTTAAAGTTTTAAATATAATCGTCTTGATCATATATTAAAATATAATCTCAGTGTAGATAAATGTAAAGTGTCATAAATCCCTCACTTTATACCAACAAAGATATTTTTTTATGTTTGACTTAAGAAAAAGAATCAATTATCTTCACGCGTTTGCAAATCTATAATAAATTACTAATAAACATATAACATCCTTTTTAGTCGTTTAAAATTCTAGATGTGTTTCATTCATTTCAATACATCCAAAAAAAAAGGCATGTGAGCCTTGGCCCAAATTTTGGATTTTCATACCCAAAAGGTAGCAATGAAGCAAACTAAAATGAAAGAAAAAGGGGAAAAGATTGAAGGAATTTTGCAGTCACTTCACATTAGAATCTCAGTGTCTTGTTTGCCCAATGTAAGTTGATGCTCTTCTCCACCCCCTTTGGCTTGAAAGAGTTTCTTCTTAAAATTAAAGTACTCACTCTTAAACAGTTTATTAATTGCTTCTATTGTGCGGACTCTTCGAGATAATCGTCGCACCAGTATCGGATCCTCCAAAAATATATAACTTTTGAATGATCCGACATGCATTCATCGACATTTCTGAAGAATCCGAGCAACATAACTAATTACAACCATCTCATCAATGGTTCGGTGGAATATATTTTCCAGACTATAACATGAGATATATATATATATATATATATATATATATATATATATATATATATATTTGCGCTTTTTTGCATCAAGTACTTTATGACTCTTACTTGGGCGGTGCTTTTTAATTTGTTTCTTTGTTGATGAACATACACAAGGCGATGTAAAAAAAAAATTAACTTATAATCGGTGTTTATATCGATTTAATGACAATATAACATGTGTCTTTTCATATATTTTTATCACTAATTCATTTTAAAAAATACACTATATTATTTCAATTTATCACTAATTAATTTTATTAAATTAATATGATTTGAGGTAAATATCAAGTGCATGTAAATTTTTACGAAGTGGGTGTTGCAAAGAGGAAACAATCTTGTTTGTTCCGATATTTTTGGCTGCTATACTAAAGTGTTGTTATAGAAAATATATATTATAACATAACATAAGAATCGGTTCCAAAAAACTTAGCTTTTATAGTGAATCACTGTTATATAAGGATGTTGTTTTATAGTCAAGTGCATGTAAATGTTTAAGAATTGAATGTATGTATTGTTGCAAATAAGGAACAGGTGGGGCAGTAGCCCCTTTACTAACACATGTTGTTAATCTTTTACCTGACTTCCGGTACAATAATAATAATAATAATAATAATAATAATAATAATAATAATAATAATAATAATAATAATAATGGCGCAATCTCAAACAAGTTTAGTCGGTTATATGAATTTTCAATAATCAATTAATTTTTTTTATTTGAAGTCATCTCAATTCCAGGCCCCGATAACTTTTAAAAATTTTAAAAGTTATTTTTCATCTAAGAGTGGCATCTGTTGGTACAATCTTTTCTCAAGTTCTATTTATCTGTGATAGTAATGAATTGTTGTCTAATTTCCAACAATATGTTATTCTAGAAGTTCTATCTTGCTAGAAAAATGGAATTCATGCTTTTCACAGATGAGTTGATTTAATTTATCTTTTTGTGGACAATCTTTTACTTTTAGCCTCGATCTAATTAAATCCACAGTCTGAAAAGAAATAACGTAGAAATTGAATTTTTTTACAAGCAAAGGTCAACTGACATATCAGATATCTCTATGTATTGACATATGCCTTGGTGCTATTTTTCTTCTTTTATGTTTGAATATCTTATTTTAGCATATAATTCTTTCAGGTGTAAGAAAGAAGAAAAAGAAAGAAGGGAAGAAACATTTGTTACTTTATGTTTTTTGTGATGTTTCACGAGTTAGTTTTTTGGTGTATATCTATAATATAACCCTATATTTTAAGCTTACCAACTCCAAATATGAATTCACTTGATATGAATCGTTATTGGTGAAATATTTATAAAGAATGAAGTCACACCAAGCTAAAGAATTGTGGTGGGATAAATAAAATCTCTCCATCTTTAGTTTCGGATTCAAACTTCAAATATTTAAAAAAAGCCTTTTTTAAAACCTTATGTAATATGAATCTAGATTAATTCAAACCCTAATACTGAAATGTCAATAAATTTTGAAAGTGATAACTAAAAGGAAGATGGACCCAAATGATACGAAGAATCATTACGTAGAAATCATTAGTAGTTTACCCTTTTAAACTATTCCATAGGCAGCCAACTCTCAAATTTCAA